CATCATCACCATCAGCATCATCATCAGCATCAGCATCATCATCATCATCATCATCATCATCATCATCATCATCATCATCATCATCATCAGCATCAGCATCAGCATCAGCATCATCATCAGCATCAGCATCATCATCATCATCATCATCATCATCATCACCATCATCATCATCATCATCATCATCATCATCATACTCCGCCCTCCTCCTTAGCCACATCCTCCTTTGCGAGGTTTTGGAAGATGCGGAGGATGAGAGAAGAGGGAGGAGGAGAGGGAGGTGGAGACGGAGGAGCATGGATGAGCAGGGAGGGGAGGACGGAGACGGGAGACGGAAGACGGGAGGATGGAGTTGTAGGAGCCGTAGGAGCAGCAGGAGGTATGACGTCCCCTCTCCCTCCCTCCCTCATCCCCCATCGTCTCCGTCCTCCTCCTCCTCCTCTTCCTCCTCCTCATCCTCGTCGTCCACCCTTCTATTAGTCCACCTCTTCATCCTCCTTTCTCAACCACCTCCCCCCTCCCTCCTCCTCTTCCTCCTCCTCATCCTCCTCCTCCTCCTTCTCCTCCTCCTCCTCCTCCTCCATGTCGTCGTCCTCCTCTATGTCATCGTCCTCCTTCTTCCGTAGCCGTTCTGGCTCACGTCGCTGGGAAGGGGGCATATCAGGCGGTCGCACGACGGGTTGCGTCAGCCGACGCGCCCTGTGCACCGGTGCGCCCAGCGATGGCGCGCTAGGTCACCCGCGGAGGCGCAACGATAACTGCGCCTCCCGCTTCGCAGCCTGGGCCGTGGAGTTGCTCTTCTCCCAAGGGGGCGCGAGGGCGCGAAGGTGATCGCGCGCCGCCCCCCACGCAGATGGGTGGTACAGTTCCCGAGGAGATCGGGAGCTCCAGTTCGGACTCCTCGAGCGTGTCATCTTCGGACTCTGACAGCTCCGAGGCGAAAAAAAAGAAGGAGAAGAAAAAGATCAAGAAGGCCAAGAAGCTGCTGAAGAAGCTGAAGAAGGCCGAGAAGAAGGCCAAGAAGAAGGAGAAGAAGCTCGCAAAGAAGGCCAAGAAGGATGGCAAGAGGGAGAAGAAGCACCTCCGCGACGGCCAAGAGGGAGGCCAAGAGGACGCCAGCGGGGCGGCCAGGGAGGAGAAGAGGGCCAGCAGGGCGACCGAGGGGCCCAGCTGCACGCCCGCGGCAGGGCGGCCGCGGGCCGCCGAGGGGGGCTCCCTGCTCACGGCCGACGCGCCGTTCGAGTGCTCCCTGCTCGACGTCTGCGAGAGGGCCGCCCGCGGCATGAACTCGACCAGCGCGACCATCCAGGACGAGCGCATGTCGAAGGAGGAGGAGCTCCGCAGACGGCCTCCGTGCACCACCGCCCGTGCCTGGCGAGGACCACCCGGGGCCCTGGCGCGGCGCACAGGCCCTCCTGGCCTCGGCCAGGAGGCGCAGCCACCATGCAGGGGTCCAGGAGGGCCCTGACGGGGCACGGCGGTGGTGTACGTGCAGATGCCTTCTACGCAGAAGCGGCATAGACGGAAAGCTTCGGAGGTCCGCGCGGATTTCTCAGATCCACGCTGGGCTCCACTGGCGCTCTCCGCGCGCCAAGGATTGGGGTCCAGCGCCGATCTTAGAAATCCGCGCGGGCCTCAGAAAGAGTATGCTTATGCCGCTTGTCCTGCTTCGAGTATAAGCGTGTACAGCCCAGAGGGCGACCTCATCGAGAGCCCGAAGGTCTTCAAGACGTTCAAGGAGATCAGAGAGTTCCCGAGGCCCGTGCAGCAGGCGTTTCAGGACACCGGTTTCCCGGGCCCCTCGCAGATCCAAGCGTATTGCTGGCCACTCGGCCTGCGCGGCAAGGACGTCATCGGCATTGCCGCGACGGGGAGCGGGAAGACGCTGGCGTTCCTGATGCCTGCCTTCGTCGAGATGCACGAGCAGGGGGCCCGCCCCGAGCGCGACGGCCCCGGGCTGCTGGTGATGTCGCCAACGCGCGAGCTGGCGCAGCAGACGGAGGCGGAGGGGAACAAGTTCGGGAAGTGCCTGCAGATGAGGTGCGTGGCGATGTACGGTGGCGCCCCCAAGGCCGGACGAGGAAAAGATCTGCTCCTGGAGATCCCTCGTCGCCACGGCTGGACTCTCCTCGGAGCTCTGGTCGGCGAGCATCCCAGCAGAGGTCCACGGAGTAGCGGTATCAGTATCTTCTGGTCCCCCCGCAAGGGCAGCCAGATGTCGAGGTACCGGCAGGGGTGCGCGTGCGTGGTGGCGTGCCCGGGCCGTCTCAATGATTTCCTGGAGGGCCGGCAGGTGCAGCTGCGGAACACCAGGAGGCTCGTGCTCGACGAGGCGGACAGGATGCTCGACATGGGGTTCGAGCCGCAGATCCGCAAGATCCTGGAGCACCTGCCCTCGAAGAGGCAGACGCTGTTCTTCACAGCGACCTGGCCCCGGGAGATCCAGAGTCTTGCGTCCGAGATCCTGACAAAGCCGTACAAGGTCATGGTCGGGGACCGCGACGAGCTGAAGGGGAACGCGGACGTGACGCAGCTGGTGCGCATCGTACCAGCGAACAGGAAGCTGGACATGCTGGCCGAGATTCTCATGGAAGCGGGCCTGAACGTCCGTGGCGGCCTCGGCAAAGGGTTGATCTTCTGCGGCTCCAAGAGAATGTGCGACCAGCTGTCGGCGAGCCTGGAGCGCAGCGGCGTCCCGTGCGCGGCGATCCACGGCGACAAGGATTAAGTCGGGCCTGTCCTCTATAGGGGGAGTATTCAAAAATAGTCAACAAATAGTCTGGTGACGATTTTTCTATTATTATTATTATCATTATTATTATTATTAGTAGTATTCTTGGTATTAATGGTATTATTTTTACTATTTTGACTATTTGTATGTTTGTAGTATGCTTGTACTTTTCCTCCCAAATCCGCCTGTAGGAGGACACGCCCGACCTAAGACAAGGACCAGCAGCAGCGAGACGCGGCCCTGAGCGACCTGAAGCAGGGCCGCATCAAGGTGCTCGTCGGCACGGACGTCGCTGCCCGCGGACTAGACATCAAAGGCGTGGGCCTCGTCGTAAACTTCGACCCCCCCAACAACGCAGAGGACTACGTGCACCGCATCGGGCGCACGGGGCGCGCAGGGGCCAAGGGCGTCGCGATCGCGCTGCTGACGCCCGACGAGGGCGGCAAGGCGCGCAACATCCTGGAGGTGATGGAGCGCACTGGCCAGGCTCGGCGGCGCGCAGAGGAGGGGGGGGCAGGGGGAAGGAAGCGGAGGAGAAGGATGAGGTGGAGGGTTTCCCCGAAGGGTTTCGGCGACCCGTCCTCCTCCTCTCCTCCTCCTCCTCCTCCTCCTCCTCCTCCTCCTCCTCCTCCTCCTCCTCCTCCTCCTCCCTCCTCCTCCTCCTCCTCCTCCTCATCCTCCTCCTCTCTCTCCTCCTCCTCCTCCTCTCCTCTCCCTCCCTCCGCCGCTGCCTCTCCTCCTCCTCCTCGTCCTCCTGCTCCTCCCCCCTCCTCATCCTCCTCCTCCTCTTCTTCTTCATCATCATCATCACCATCATCATCATCATCCTCATCATCCTCATCCTACCCCTCATCCTCCTCCTCCTCCTCCTCCTCCTCCTCCTCCTCCTCCTCCTCCTCCTCCTCCTCCTCCTCCTCATCGGGTCGCCTACGGCCCCGGGGGAAACTGTGCAGGGTGAGAAGGAGGAAGCGGAGGAGAAGGATGAGGAGGAGGACCAGCATCAACCCAAGACACATCAACGATGTTGCAATATAGCCCCTGTCTAAGATCCCTGTTCCTAGGCTCCTACAAGAACTGATGCTTACTGCGGGAAGTGCCTCATGGAAGGACAACCGGCTGAGAAACTTTAATCATGGCAGATATCATTCTTGCGACTTGAGCGCCACGGGTCAGCGTAACTGCTGCGTCCTGACAATGGAGGCTTCAACACCGCGAATCAACTTGCGTCCTGACAATCATAAATCGTGCCACCATTCCTGGGACTTCGACCCTGGCCATCATCTTCGAAACCACTGCAAACTTTGCAGACGAACGAGCGCAGCGTTAAAATGTTGAAACGAATCTGCTCCCCCTCATTGACATTGCTGCAAACTTTTCAGGCGACCGTGCGTGGCGCTGAGGCGAGAGCCACATGTTGCAAAAGTACCTGCCCTCTATCCTGGAAGCTGCTGCAAAGTTTAAGACGGATGTGCACGTCGCTATGGCGAGAGCCACATTTTTACAAAAGGGCCCACCCTCCATTTTTGAAGCTGCTACAAGATTTGAGAGCGACTTTGCGCGGCGCTAAGGCGATAGCCACATTTTGAAAAATGGTCCGCCCTCCATCCTTGGATCTTTTACGAATTTCAAGCTTCAGAATCATACGTGGTGAGGAAGCTTCAGGCGAAACGCCCGGTCCGCCCCACCGACACGTCCAGGCGGGCGAGGGGGAGGAGTTGTTTAAATGCGAACGGGATGCAAGACGAGGAAGAGGAGGAGGAGGAGGAGGAGGAGGAGGAGGAGGAGGAGGAGGATCGAGGAGTATCGAGGAGGATCGAGGAGGATCGAGGAGGATCGAAGACAGAGCTCAGGCCCCCCTCGCCCTGCCCCCTGCAGGATCAGCGTTGGGGGGGGGACCGGCTCCAGAGGGAGCGCGTCGACCCCCAGTCGCCCACCTTCGCCGAGTGTGAGCATGATCGTCCACCCCGCCCAGGAGCGTGCGGACGCGCCATCGGGGGCCCATCGCCAATTCACCACCAGTTCCAGGCAGATATAGGGTGGGTTCTTGCCGTGCCAGCGCGGCAGCGTCCCCGCCGCAGGCGTTCAAGGTGGGACGCCGCCAGAGGCCCAGAGTCGGCAAATGTGGAAGGATCTGGCGATCGACAACCTCCCGATCTTGAAAGGTTGAACGGTCCGCGCGGTGTCAGGAACCAACGCCAGGGTTCGGACGGGGCTAGGACGAGGATGAATCCGTTTCAGAGCGTTCCGGAACGCTTTCAGAGCGTTCCGGAACGCTCTGAGAAGGCCGCGGCGCCCGAGGCATCCTCCAGAACCGCCGGAAGTCAGAGATTCTCGATGTATCCTCACCCGATGTTCTCCTCGCCCTGGCTTCGTCGTGAGGGCCGTCAAGACACCAACCAGCCGTGGATGTGCTTCCCCCACGGAGCTCGCCGCCCTGCGCTCGCGGCCCCCCGAGGCCCCCCCGCCAGAGCTGCGGAGGCTGGCCGAGGCCGCGGGCAGCTCCCGGGGCAAAGGGGGCGGCCGCGGCGGCACTGGCGCGCGCGGGCGCAGCCGGAGCCGCAGCCGATGAAACTCCTCCGCGGGCGCCGACGCGGGCGACGGCGGCGACAACGGCGACGGCGACGACGACGACGACGAGGACGACGACCACGACCACGACGACTACGAGGACAAGGACGAGGATGAGGGCGACGACGACGACCACGACGACCACGACGACCACGACGACGACGACGACGACCACGACGACGACCACCACGACGACGATGACGACGACGACGACGACGACGACGACCACGACGACCACGACCACGACCAGGACCACGACCACGACGACCACGGCGACTACGACGACCACGACGGCCACGACGACGACGACGACGACGACGACCCCCCAGATCTCCGACGACCTGCCTTGCTCGATCCCAGCGGGCCGTTCCTCGATTTCGGCCCCCCGGGGGCCGCTTCCGGGCCCCGAGGCAGTCAGCAACGGATCCAGGACGCAAAAGGCCGCCGCGGGCGCACGCCGCGGCGTCGGCGTGGCGCCCTCTGGGCGGAGCCGCCGCCCCGCCAGGGGTTCTCGACCTCGTGGCCTCTTCTCCTAAGCTTTCGACCTCGAGGTTCGAAATTCGAGGTTTTCGGACGATGTCGGTTCCCAGAGTTTTTCTCCTGAGTTTTCGACCTCGTGGTTCGCGGCTCGAGGTTTGCGAACGTTGCCGTCGGTTTCCCGAGTTGTTTCTAAGGGTTCGACCTTGTGGTCCGAGGTTCGAGGTGTTCGGACGTTGTCGTCGGTTCCTGGAGTTTTTCTCCTAAATGTTCGACCTCGTGGTTCGAGGCTCGAGGTTTGCGGACGTTGTCGTCGGTTCCCGGAGTTTTTCTCCTCAGTGTTCGACCTCTTGGTCCGAGGTTCGAGGTTTTCAAACGTTGTTGACGGCTCCCGTGTTTTCGACATCGTGTTTCGAGGTTCGCGGTTTTCGGACGTTGTCGTCGGTTTCCGGAGTTATTCTTGAGTTTTCGACCTCGTGGTTCGAGGTTCGAATTTTTCGGACATTGTCGTCGGTTCCAGAGCTTTTCTTGTGTTTTCGACCTCGTGGTTCGAGGTTCGAGGTGTTCGACGTTGTCGTCGGTTCCTTGAGTTTGTCCTAAGTTTCTGACCTCGTGGTCCGATGTTCGAGGTGTTCGGACGTTGTTGGTGGTTCTCGCAGTTGTTCCTGAGTTTTCGATCTCGTGGTCCGAGGTTCGAGATTTGTGGACGTCGTCGTCGGTTCCTAAAGTTTTTCCTAGGTTTCCGACCTCGTGGTTCGAGGTTCAAGGTTTTCAGACGTTGCCGTCGGTTCCCGGAGCTTTTCCCGAGTTTCCGACCTCGCGGTTCAGAGGTCCGAGGTTTTCAGACGTTGTCGTCGGTTCCCGGAGCTTCTCTTGAGTTTTCGACTTGTGGTTCGAGGCTCGAGGTTTTCGAACGTTGTCGTCGGTTCAGGAGTTTCTCCTGAGTTTTTCGACGGAGGTTTTCGGACGTTGTTGTCGGTTCCCGGAGTTGTTCATGAGTATTCGACCTCGTGGTTCGAGGTTTTTGACGTTTTCGTCGGTTCCCGGAGTTTTTCTTGAGTTTTCTACCTCGTGGTTCGAAGCTCGAGGTTTTCGGACGTTATCATTGGTTCCCGGAGCATGTCCTGAGTGTTCGAGCTCGTGGTTCGAGGCTCGAGGTTTCCGGACGTTATCATTGGTTCCCGGAGTTTTCCTGCGCCTCGGTTCGAGGCTCCAAGTTTTCGGACGTTTTCGTCGGTTCCCGGAGTTGTTCCTGATTTTTCGACCTCATGGTTCGGAGGTTCGAGGTGTTCGGACGCTGTCGTCGGTTCCTAGAGTTGTTCCTGAGGTTTCGATCTCATGGTTCGAGGTTTGAGGTGTTCGGACGATGTCTTCGGTTCGCGGAGTTTTTCCCTGTCCCCTCGTTGCTCCCCAGCAGTTGCGCCTCGCCGAGAATGTTCTGGAGGTGCCCCCCAGGGGAGAGGAAGGAGCCTGTCGATACCGATGGACGTGGAAGGGCAAGTCCGAGTGCTTCTACTGTGGCAAGCTGCTGGCCCCATCACCCGCCGAGCACCGCCAGCCTGCTGGGGCGTGGGCAGGAGTCAGCAAGCCACCGCCGTGGAAGGAGCAGCCAGTGGCCGTCGCCCCGACCAGGGACGCCATCATCGCCACGCTCAGCACGCTCCTCAGCGACACCAAGCACGCCGAACTCGTCGGCAACCTCAAGGACGCCCTCCAGCAGCCCGACAAGCCGCAGCCTGCCCGCACGGCAGAGCAGGTGCTCCAGTCGGCGCCGCCAGTCCTCACAGACAGGGAAAAGAAGTTCAAGCAGTCGGTCGACGACGTCGAGGCCGCCAAGCAGTGGTACGACGACGCCGTGGCCAAACAGGAGCAAGCCGCCCTGGACCTCGTCCAGGCACAGAACGCATGCGCCAAGGCGCAAGCGGACCACAGCGCCAAGCTTGCTGGAGCTGCACGCGGAGCACCACAAGCGGGATCCCAGGAAGCCTTCAAGGTCGACAGCTCGATGTGGGACGACCTCTCAATCTACGACGAGGGCACCCGAGCCCAGATGGAACAATAGAAGCAAGAGCTTGACCAGCGCCTGGCCGAGCTCAACAATGGCCAAGAGAAAGTACGTGAACTCCTACGCCAAGCCAAGGAGTCCATCACCAACCCAGCGAAGCGAAAGAAGCCGAGTGGGGAGGAACCAGCCGCTCAGCAACCTCATCCTGAACCCGCTCCCGCTTCACCAGAGGAACAGCAGCCAGCGGCCGCACCTGGAGGACAGGCACAACCTGGCACGCCAGGAGGCTCTGCCGCCCCACCTGTCGAGCCACGCCAGCCTGGAGGGGCCGCCCCTGCTACCGACGAGCCCTCCGAGGAGGACCGCAAGGCCGCCGCCGAGCTCATCGCCACCACCACGAGGGCCAGGGAGCTGGCCCACGCAGCTAAGGGCGTGGGCAAGGGCGCCACCATGGCGCCAGCGGCAGCAGCAAGAGCCCCACCGTCGCTGTGGTAGCCGCAAGCGGCCGCAGCGGCTGAGGGGGCATGGGAACCGCGCCAGGGGGCTCCCCACGGCAGGTGCACCCGCCCCAGAGGCCGAGCGGGCGGCCCAGATCCTGTTCGGCAACATAACGGCTTGGGGGCCACAAGCCGCCAACTTCTGTCGCAACGCGGGCCTCAAGTACCACCTCATAGCGCTGGCGGCGACCCACGTCGACGCGTGCGGCATCACCGAGCAGATTGGAAAGCTCGCCATGGACGGCTGGAAGCTGTCGGCCACGCCCGCGGTGGCCACCAACAAATCGGACAAGGGGACCCATGGCGGCGAGTGGATCCTCACGCGCAGGGACGCGGCGGCGACCACGTTCGAGGGCTACAGGGAGTACGACGTCAAGCGCTACAAGAGGCAGCCGTTCGTGGGCTTCACGCCGACAGTCCTCCACTCCAAGAGCGGCAACATAGTCATCATAGCGGCGTACCTGCGCCCTGGCCTACGGGACCTAGGCGCGAACAGGGACATCTTGGTCTCCATCTCCACTTTTGTGGACATGCTCATGGACCCGTGGATCATCCTGGCCGACTGGAACTACGAGCCGCACTGGTGGGACAACAAACCGTGGCTCACGCGATGGAACGGCACTATCCTCACCGACCCGAGCTGCGAGGCGACGTGCGACAAGGGCTCGGGCGCCGTGTACGATTACGCGATCGCACGAGCGGACATCGCCGCGCACGTCGGGATCGAGGCCATCTACGACGTCCCCTGGAAGACCCACTGCGGCATCCACATCACGGTGGGCACCGCCGAGCCGCGGCAGTACAAAGCTAAAAAGGTTCCCAAAGCCCTCCCCGCACGAGCCAGACCTAAGAAGGTCGCGGACCCGAGCAGCAAAAGGTCCAAGGCTCGTGCGGAGGCGCTGCGAACCAGGAGGGAAAGGCTACCAGAGCACCTGCGCGACGAGTTCGACGCACTCTACTTCGACCGCGAGACGGCCAAGGAAGACCCCACCCCCTTCGTGATCCCACAGCACTACTGGGACGCCGCCGCCGACGAGGTCAGCAACTTCCCGAAGTTCGATGGCGCTAAGGTCGGCACCAAGGAGGGCAGGGGACACATCTTCCACAACCATGCGCCGGACCCCGCGGAGAACATCAACTCGAAGTACGCGCACTGGGTCGCGACCCTGGAGCTCGCCTTCCTGGAGACGCACGCGGTCCCCGTCGAGGACAGGGCCAAGTACCAGGGCAGGGCGGAGGGGTACAGGACCACGAAGCAGACGATGAAGGCGTCGCCTGGCAGAGCGTACCTCAAGGACCCTGAGGCTACATGGTGGCAGCACCTCAGCACCCTCGTGGTGAGGTACTCTGCGCTGGTCACCAACGGCAAGGACCCCAAAGCCCGCCAGCACATCCACAAGACAGTCATGAAGAAGCTGGACGACCTGGAGAACCCTGAGTTATCCAAGGAGCTCTTCGGCAGCAAGACCGACCCGCAGGAGATCGAAGAGTGGAAGACCCAGCTGGTAAACCCCGAGTACTGCGACGCGGCGGACCTGCGCCACGGCAGCGCCACTACCATGGAGTGGTCCCACAAAGCCATGGCGAGAGCGGCAGGCAGAGCGCGGAAACGGTATCTCGACTGGGCGAAACAGGCGTGGAAGGACTCACCAGGAAAGCTGCACCGCATTGTCACCGACCCCAAGGCGCCGCGCCTGGAGGACAATCAGCCTCAGAGAACGGTGGGCGACCCGTCCACGCTCATGAACCACTCTGCCGACACCTGGCGCTCCATCTGGGCGTCCGACAGCTACAACGCCAAGCAGATCATCAGCGCGTACGAGAAGGCCATGCGGCTCGCAAAGGAGGACCCCCTCCCGCCAATCGAGCCGCAGCACATACAGGCCATCGTGCGCACCGCCAAGCCGAAGAAGGCGAGAGGAGTCGACAACATCTGCATCATCGACATCCAGAGGCTCCCCGAGAAAGGGATCCAGGAGCTCGCCGAGATCTACAACCAGGTGGGGGCCAACAGGCCGTGGCCTCAGCAGCTGTGCGCCACCATTGGGGCCATGGCCCCCAAGCCCGCAGGTGGAGAGAGAATCTTGGGCATGCCCCCCACAATCCCCAAGACGCGGGCCAGGGTCCGCTCCAGCGTAGCCGACGAGTGGCCCAGGGAGCCCGGGGAGTTCTGGGACACCGCCATCAAAGGCTCCAGCGCCTTAAGGGCAGCGCTAGTCAGGGCGCTACTTGACGAGACGGCGGCGACCTTCGGCGTGGCCTTCGCGACCTTGCTGATGGACGTAGAGAAGTTCTACGACTCGGTCTGCTACGAGGCCCTCTTCGAAGCCGCGACCGGGGTCAACTTCCCCCCGATTGTCGCGGCGATGGAGGCGCAGCTCTACCTGGCGCCCAGGTACTTGCGGATGCACGGCTGGGTCAGCGACATCATAGACGCCGAGAGGTCCATACCCGCGGGAAGCTGCAATGGCGGTAAGCTCGCCAAGGTATACCTGGGGCCGATCCTGCAGAGGGCCCACACCAACCACACGCACGCTGGCCTGTGGACGTTCGTGGACGACACGGTCGCGAGGACAGAGGGCCAAACCAAGCAGGCCATCGGAGATCTCATCGGGGTTGGCGCCGACCTATTCGAAGGAATGACGGGTGCGGGGCTCAGGGTCTCCCCCAAGACCACCGTAGTCGCCTCCAGCCAGACGATTGCCTACGCAGTGCGCGACGGTCTCAAGAAGAAGGGCTACCACGTCAAGGTGGCCAACAGCGCGGTCGACCTTGGCATCGACGTGGGTGGCGCCAAGAGACGGGTTGTCGCCAAGGCAATCAAGAGGGCCAGGACCGCGAGGAGGCGCACTCACCGCATCGTGGCCAAGGTCAGGAAACACGCCTCCCTAGCCAGGATCGCGAAGGGCTTGTGGAACACGGGATCCAGGCCGCAGGGGACCTACGGCCACCAGACCATGGGCCTCGCCCCAGCGGCCATCCTCGACCAGAGGCGCCAGGCCGTTCAGGCCACGGCGGGGAAGGTCCCTGGCCGCTGCCTCTCCACAGCCCTCGCCGTCGTCATGGGGAAGAAGGACCCCGCGATCGAGCCCAGGCGCCAGTCAATCGCCGAGTGGCTTCTGGATGCAGTACCCAGAACACCACAGTCGGGTCACGCAGGCGTGGAAGCGGATACACGACAAGTCGATCAAGTACGGCAACAAGAAGTGGAGGAAGGTCAAGGGGCCCATCTCCGCCATCCAGGCCATTCCCTTGGACGCAGGCTGGACCTGCCCGACGCGGAGTGGTCGCGACCTCCGTGGGCAGGCGAGACCTACTCGCAGGAGTGGCAGCTACCCCACAGTGGCCAGGCCGACTGGGAGGACAAGCGCAACGACGTGGACCCCGCAGAGTTCGTCCACGAGTTCTGCCTCTCCCTCGAGAGGAGCCTGTGGAGGGATGCTGCCAAACACCCACACGGAGAAGGACTGCAACGAGGGGGCCCAGACGCCCACATAGTTGCCAACGAGATGGAGAAGTTCACGAGGAAGGGCCAGTACGACCAGGCGGCCCTCAACCTCTGCGTGGTCGCGGGGGCGCAATGGCCCAGAAGCCGACTCATCGAGACGGGGTACAACGCTACTCCAACGTGTCCCAGGTGCGGTGGGGCCGGCGAGACGCTCATGCACAGGGTCTGGCTGCGCCCGTGCAACCGCGACCACGAGGACTACACGGATTCTGACGCCTTCATGCCCTCTGCCCTGGCGGGAGCAGGGGCTGCTCCCGCATACTGGCTCCGCGGCCTGCCTGCGCGCGACGACGCGCACCCGCTCTTTGCATCGTTGGGAGGGGGCCGCGGGTGGAGCTGGGTTGGGCGGGAGTGGGAGGATTGCGTCAGCAGCGACGGCACCCTCACCCTCTTCGGGGACGGCTCGGGAGGTCAGTACAGTGATGACCCACGACGCCGAAGAGTGGGGACCGCCTGTGCCGCCATGAAGTGCCTCTTCGGGGAGTGGGCCCCCTGGGGAGGCATCATTTCGGGCCTCGAGGGCCCCTTTCAGACTGTGCCTCGTGCTGAGCTGCTGGCTTTCGCGCTTGCCCTAGAGCACTGGGACGGTGATCTCTGCTTCATCACAGACCACCTCCCGTTATATGACGGATGGCGGTCGAATCGACACTTGCGCCCCCGCGATGGCGCCAATCAGGATTTGTGGGCACGTATTGCAAAAGCAATACGCGCACGTGGTAGTAGGCAGCTCTCGGTGATCTGGGTGCCCTCACACAGCGAGGAGTCACCTGGCCTCGCCTCTGACCCTGTGCGCTACTTTCACACCATTGGTAATGCGACGGCCGATGCATGGGCTGGGGTAGCGGCCCAACGGTCCTACGAGGCAGCGCTCGTGGGACAGGCTCCCTCCCCCCCCCCCCACGCACGGACCTGCACGATGCACAGTGCACCCTCATCCGCAGGAGGGCGCGCCGAGCCCTAGCTGACACGCTTGCAGTCGACCCCTGGGTGGCGGAGCGACCCTCGCAGGCCAAAGGCCCGCGTCTCACCAAGCTGCAGCTAGCCATGCGATCGAGCCAGCACGCCTTTGAGCTCAGAGCGGGCAAGTATCTCTGCTCGCGGTGCGGGCTCACCACCGACAAGTGTAAAGTACGCCAGGCCTGCGCCACGCCGTGCACCCACCAGACCCACCTTCCGTCCGCCAGCGACCAGATAGTGCCAGTACAGGGCACCATCACCATCGCTGGCCGCGAGCTGCACGCCAGCCATAAGCTTCATTTCATGCAGAAGTACCGCCTGTATTTTTGTCGCGGGTGCGGCAAGACGGCCACAGAAGACCCACGCCACCTCGCCGCACCCTGCGCAGGCGTTGTTTCGAAGAAAGGGCGAGAGAACCTCGCCAAGATTGACAAGGGAGAATTTACCCGCGCCCACGCGGGGCGCGATGGCCTCACCAATTTTTGCGAGCAGCTACCCACGGCATAGCCGTGGAAGAAATTTCAGCTGCCGCGGCGCCTGCCGCTGCAGTCGCCACTTCTGGCCAGGGCTAGAATGCGTTTGGCATCGCCCGAACTTCGCACCTGGGTGCGCTCGGTCTGTTCCTCTGTTCCTGCTCCTATTGCTTCGCTTCCTACTTCTTCCTCCACCTCCTCAGTTCCATTGATATTGTCGGCGCGACCACGCCAAGATGAGAAGATAGAGTAAAGAGGATGATGCTGAAGAGCAGGAGGAGAACGCAGAGGGGGAGGAGAGGGGATGAGAAGACGTAGGGAGAAATATAACTAACGCAGACAGGAGAAGTATGCAGGAAGGGAGAGAAGGCAGAAGAGGAAGTATATTGATGATGAAATTGATGTTGATGGTGATGATGGTGATGGCGCGGATGATGATGATGATGATGATGATGGTGATGATGATCATGATGTTGCTGATGATGTTGACGATGACGACGATGATGATGATGTTGTTGATGATGACGATCAGGATGATGATGAGGACGATGATGCTGATTATGAAGATGATGATAATGACGATGATGATGCTGCTGCTGATGATGATGGTTATGGTGATGATGCTGATGATGATGCTGATGATGATGATTATGGTGGTGATGATGATGACGATGATGAGGAGGAGGAGAAGGAGGAGGAACGACTTCTGGAGGAGGAGGAGGAGGACGAAGAGGAGGAGGAGGAGGAGGAGGGCGAAGGAGGAGCATCAGGACGATGACAAAGAAGGAGGACGCGGCCTCGAGAACTATCAGGAGGAGGAGGAGGAGGAAGAGGAGGAGGAGGAGGAGGAGGAGGAGGATGGGGAGGGATGGAGAGGAGTACGAGAAGAAGCAAGAGCTAATGAGGCCTCCCGCAGGGACGCGAAAACCATCCCGCTTCGCAGGTTTTTCCGCCCTGGCCACAGAGTTGCACAATCTCTGGACCCGCCAGGCCCCAGATCCCCGAGTCGTTAGCGCCCGATGCTGTTGGTCCCACTCGCGCTTCACGAAGCAAAACAAGCGCGGAGGGAGAAGCGGAGGGCGGGGAGGAGACAGGGCGGAAGGGGAGGCCACATCAGGTCCACAGCCCTCAGGCTCCCCAGGGCCGCGCAAAGATAACGAACGCCCGAGCCCTCTGAAACTTCTCTTTTCTGCTGTCTAGAGGGCGAGGAGGGGGATCCTTCCCCCCTCCCCCTCCTCAAACTCCACGGCCCTTCGACCTCACCTGGAGGAGCCCGCTCCGACCAGGGTTCCGAGGCGGATCCCGCCGTGGCGACGAAGGCCCCCCCTCGGAGGCCAAGACGCAGCTGGCACACAACAGTATCCGACGGCAGCGGCGGCGGCGGCGGCGGCGGCGCTGCCCGGAGGCCGCCGCCGCGCCGAGGAAGCAGCCGCGGGGTGCCGCCAGGGCCGCAGCCGCGGGCGCCCGAGCGCCCGCCTCCGCCGCCTCTGCCGTGTTCGATTCTCTCGAGGAGAGAACGGCACATTGTCATGGTCCTCGTCTCAGCGTGCAGCTTGGGGAGTACGCCTACACACGCTACGTGCTCCGCACTCGGCGTGTCTCCCGCGTGGTGGCTTCTTGGCGTGTGCATCGGAGGGCTGTGTCACCTGACCCTACTCTGCGTGCACGCCCCTGCGCTGCTTAGCGTGTCAACGGCTTCGGTTTCGCAGGGCCCAGAATCACATGCGCGCTAAGAATAGGACCATGACCGTAAGCATACGGTTGGGGCGTTCGTCTGGGAGTTTGCCAAGGAGGCTGCAGACCCTGGAGGGCGGCGCGGCGGTATCCATGGCCGATCCACGACCGGAATCACACCAGCTTTCGGGCCCTGCATTCCTTATCTAAGGGCTCATTATCCAATGCCCCCATCGTAAACCTTCGGAGCTCCGCGTGGATGTCCAGGATTGGCGCCTCGCCCCCACTGGCGCCGCCTCCGGCGCCGCTCCTGGCGCGCTCCGCGCGTCAGTGATGGGGCTGCAGCTCGGATCCAAGAAATCCGAGCGGTCGTCCAGCTATTTCTGTTTACGCAATTCTTGGTTCCCTTATTTTCCCTCTCTTCCCTCGCCGCTTCCTTCCACCAATTTACCCCCAGGCTCCTGCCACAGTTGTGCTCATGTGGTCTTACGTTTCTCTGCCGTTCTCTCATGCCCAGTTCGTCTCCACTCTTCCCGCCCTCCCGATCTCAGTATTCAGTCAGTTTGTTTCGGCTGCATGGTTGCTGCCGCTAGGCGGAGCTAGTTTTTGTTGTTGGATGCTTCGCAGGATACCCCTTCACGGCGGAACGCCGTTTGATGGCCCCGAAGCCCGACAGCGCCCTCCACACGCCCAAATCCAGGAAACCGATACATACAATACAACGCCTCCATACAGATATGAAGATACACGTACATACATGTGTATGAATAAAGGCACGCAAACATGACCATGTGTATATGTATGCGTGCGGGCATGCATTCATGTATGTATGTGTGTATATATGTATGCGTACATGTATGTACGCATGTATGCGTGAGTATAGGTGTGTATGGATGTGTGTATGTGCTGGCATATATTTATGTATGTTTGGATGTATGTATGTGAGTATGGGTAAATATGGATGTGTGCATGTGTGTACGAGCTGCTATTTATGTATATATATACACGTAAGTATGTGTGTATGCATGTACGTACGAGGGTATGTAAGTGTAAATGTATGTGGCTGTGTATGTGTAGGTTATGTTATGTGTAGAGGTAGATGTATATGTGTATGGAGATGTACGTATGTATGTATGGGTGTATATATGCATACATGTATGTATGCATACATGTATGTATGTTTGCATGTATGTGTGATGTGTGTGTGGTTGTCTGCCTGTCTGTCTGTCTGTCTGTCTGTCTGTCTGTCTGTCTGTGTGTCTGTGTGTCTGTCTGTCTGTCTGTCTGTCTGTCTGTCTGTCTGTCTGTCTGTCTGTCTGTCTGTCTGTACGTCTGTCTGTACGTACGTACGTACGTACGTACGTAGGTATGTGTGTATGTGAGTATGTATCTATGGGTGTAGGTATGCGCATGTGTATGTATGTGTACGTATGCGTGTGTATGTGTGCATGTGCGCATGTATGTGTGCATGCATGTATGTATGCAACTATGTATGTATAGATTACATGTGTGGATGTACGTGTGTATGTATGTGTATAGATTTATGTAGGTATGTGCGTATGTATGTATGTATGTATGTGCGAATGTATGTGCGACCGTATGCATGCATGTATGGAAGCATGCATGCATGCATCCATGCATGGATGGATGGATGTATTCATGGATGTATGCATGTCTGTATTTTTACACGGCCCGGTGTGATTGGCTTGCGGCACTTGGAGGCATGACTCCCGCCTTCCGCCCTGCACATGTCGGCCTCATCCTCCTGCACATCCTCCTCTTCCTCCTGCTCCCCACGTGCTAGTTTGCGCATTCCCTCACGCACACCTTCGGATCTCATTCTGGCTCCGTGTGGTCCTCCTTCACTGGAGGTCTTCAGGGGCCCTCTGGCGGTCCACGGGGGTCCTCCGGAGATCTTCAGGGGCCCGAGAATATGGGGCGATAGATTATCTGGGGTCCCCGAAGGTGAACGAAAGGCGTATCTTTCTTCACTCCCCCGTTTATTGCCCGCCATGAGGCAAGCCCCATTATTAGACGAGCTGGTGCCATATGCAAAGCATGCTTGATGGAATTCGCGGCACGCGAGGCGTCGAGCGAGATTGTCTGGCAGGAGAGGGAGCTGTTTCTTCTGCAGCGCGCATGACAATGACCGCGCGACTTCTCGTGCAAACGCGTTGTTCCACATCCAGCGCTCGTCTCAGAAGGCCCGCGCGCGACCGGCGAGCTGACCTCCCCTGCAGAGACGCCAGCTTCCCGGCGACGGCGGCTTCGTCCGTTCGGCTTGAAGCAGCGCCCGAGGACACCGCAGAGCGTCCGAGATCCTCCGTCCCCGATCCTGCTCGTCTCCTCTTACCAGATTGGAACATATCCCTATCCCTATGCTGGGCACCTCCTCATCACGATGCCAATCTTAGGGACTCCCTTATTTTTTGAGGGCGAATCCCTTTAGATTGTCACCGCCTTTTGGCGTGCCAATCTTAGGGATAGGGATACGCTCGAGGCTGGTAATCCTCGGGCCTCCCCGCGCTCGGCGTGTCGGCCGGGCCTGCTGCCGGCCCGCCCCCCCGGTTTGCCCCGAGAGGCCGCCGCGGCGCGATGGGCACCGGCAGCTGAGGCACGTCTGCCTCGCCGTCGTCGTCGTCGTCGTCTTCGTCGTTGTCGTTCGTGCCCATCGTCGTCGTGTGCTTCTCGTCTCTCGCTCTCTCGACGGAGGCGGAGGGAGGCGGGAGGAGGAGGAGGAGGAGATGCGTCGCCGTCGTCGCCGAGGCCGCCGCCGTTATCTTCGTTTTCTGCGTCACGGTCGTCGCCGTCCAATGACTTTGTCGGTTGATTGAGCGAGAGTTTCAGTGACAAGCAGCAGTGGCAGTTTCTTTAGTAGTTTCTCTTCCTCGGTCTTTCATTATGTTCCTATTCATCATCACGTCCCAAGTCCCCTCCACATACGTCCATGCAGGTATTCCTCGCCACAATACCTATAAAGACGAGCGCCACGCAAGCCCGCCTTTCTGGCGAGAGCCTCGTTTTCAAACGGCATCGCACTCCAGCCTCGCATTTGCAAGACACATAATGAGGTTGGATATAAACGTTCAAGGAAGTGCCCAGAGGGAGTACCACTTGCGAAAATGCATCGCACTCCATCAGTGCAGCTGTTGCACACAGTTGACTGTCGCCGTAAACCGTGCAGAAGTCGCAAGCGAGAGACCCATTTTGACGAGGAGCCAACCTGCACCAGTATACCTCCTTCCGAGTTTTCAGCCTCCCGTCGTATATGTTGAGAAAGACTCAAGCGAGAGCCCATGCTTGAAAAGGAAAGGCCCTCCGATCCGAATGTTGAGAAGCTGCAAGCTGACGAATGCTCGCGGCGCGAGAGCGACAGCCGCATTTCGAGCAGATCCCGCATACATTATGTAATTGCTGGAACAGTCCAGACGCATGCGCGCGGCGCTAGGGCGAAAGCCTTATTTTGAAACCATCCTCCCCTCGTCCGTGCGCTTGTTAGGGGGCTTCAGCTTCGGGATCAGGATGTGTTCGTTACGTGTGCCCCCCCGAGGGCTCCCGATCCCTTCCCCAGGACTGGTGTACCATCCAGGGCCATTCTTGATGCCCCAGATGTCCACCGCGAGCCTCCAGAGGCCCAAATCGGTGAATCCCCGGCCGCGTCGATGTTCTCCTGAAAAGTAGGGTACGGGTCTTCCTCCGCTTCGGGGATCCGCCATCGAACTTATCCGGCGGCGCGACAGGGCCAGAATGCCCAGGCGAACCTTGTCGTGATGGCGAGCCGCCCCAGGAGGCTCAAAACGAGCGGACAACGTGACAAACAAATACGACTCTTTCTCCGCTCGCCGTCGCCGCCGCCGTCGCCGCCGTCCCTCAGGAGACTGCTCCTCGCCAGCGCTGCGGGGGTGCCTCTGGTTCCAGTGGCACGGGCCACGGCTTCTCCTTTTGGGCACGCGGGGGCAGCAGCCGCTGCCGCGGCCTCAGCTTGGCCCCCTGAGGCGCGGTCGTTGCCGCGGTTGACGACGGCGACGGCGACGACGGGGAGTGGAGAAGGGTGAGCTGGAGGAGGGATGCGGGAGGAGGCAAGTGCCAAAGAGGAGGAGGAGGAGGAGGAGGAGAAGGAGGAGGAAGAGGAAGGGAGGAGGCGGAGGAGGCGGGGGACGACGAGGATTGCGAGGATGAGGAGCTAGGAGCTAGGAGGAGGAGGAGGAGGAGGAGGAGGAGGAGGAGGAGGAGGAGGAGGAGGAGGAGGAGGAGGAGGAGGAGAGGGAGGAGGAGGGAGGAGGAGCTAGGAGGAGGAGGAGGAGGAGGAGGAGGAGGAGGAGGGAGGAGGAGAAGGAGGAGGAGGAGGAGGAGGAGGAGGAAGAGGAGGAGGAGGAGGAGGAGGAGGAGGAGGAGGAGGAGCGCCGCGCCACTGAAGGGTCTCCCGCCGCGCACGGGGCGCGCGACGGACAACCAACCCCCTGGCGCCGTCTTCTCACGGCACGGAGGCACCGTGGAGGGAGGCGTAGAAGAACATGACGGCCATCAGCGCCCAGACGCCGAAGCCGCAGGAGATGTTGTCGGTGGCGAGGGGACCCAGGCGTACACGAGCCACGGGAAGAGGACGACGGCCACGTACACAAGGCAACGGCCACCGACCCGAACCCAAAAACACGGAACGCAGTTGCTAACAGAGCGGCACCAGGGCAAACAGCCCCCACGGTTCCCCGACATGGACGGGTCACTGAGCAACGGCATGCTCACCGACACGGTCGGGCATGTGGTTGCCATTTTTTGGGGCGCCAGACCCAACTCAATTCGCCGAACAGCTTCGAGTTGGTTGCTGCGGGTCGCGTGGTTCCTCGCGAGACCGTCGCACAGTTTACCCACTTTGCGGACTGTACGCTTGTTCGCTGCCGAACAGTGTGTGCGCCGCAACGTCGACAGCAGATGGTGCCGTCCTGGCGGAACACCTCGTGGCCCAGCTCCGCGAAGGCCTCCTCGATGGTGCCAGCCCCAGCGAGCGGGGGTGCTGCATGAGGTGCCACGTCGCCGTGCAGCCTCGTGGCCGCCGCAACGGCGATAACCGCGCATCGATCCGCACAGTCCTCCCACTCGTCGCCGTTGCCCCGAACGAAGGCCGCGTTGAGCGCGAGCGTAACGTGGGACAGGTGGCAGACCCGCAGGGATCCCGACCGACGTGTCACCATGGATGGTTCGGGCCCCTCGGTGGCGCCACACCTCTTGCAGCGGTGTTCTCCAGTCGTCCTGCTGCGCGCGAGGGCGTGGCCCGTGCTCCGCCCCACGACTGCTCTCTGCACGTAGTCGCTGGGGTGGCGGGGAGCGTCGCCGTCGATGCCCTGGCGCTTGACCACTACGACTTGCATCGCTGCCCACGCAACATGCTGAAGCACACGCCGATGCTGCTTCCGTACCGCCGTCATGGATTCAGCAACCGAACTGGCCAGCGCATGCGACGCAGCCCCACAACGGGCAAAGTAGTCGACCCAGCTGTTGCCGAGCCAATCCTTCAGCTCGTCGGGGTCGGCCTCGGCCAGCTCCTCCAACGAGCGGTGGGCGGGCGTCCACTTGAAGCGCAGTGGTTGCACCAGCGTCCTCTTTCTGCTAGCGTGGAACATGCCCCCCCCCCCAGACCCTGGCAGGAAGAGGAAGAGGAGGAGGAGGAGGAGGAGGAGGAGGACCAGTGTAAACCCAAGAGTCACCAACGATGTTGGAATAAGCCCTCCCCCAAGCTCCCTCTTCACAGGTCCCTACAACGATTCATTTCCACAGATGGACATCCCTCGTTGGAAGACAACTGTTTGAAGACCTTGAAACATGCAAGAATACTATTCTTGGTATGCCAACGCTACGGGTCTACCTGACTGTTGATTCTTGACGATCCCGAACCGTGCCAAAACGCCAATCTTGGGACTTCAACTCCGCGAATCATCTTAATATGTTCCTTCCAAAACACCATTTATGGTACGTCGACCATGGGAGCCCGCGAAACGCTTACAATATTGTGACCAGAATGCGCGCGGCGCTAAGGCGAAAACCACATGTTGAAAAAGGAACCGCCTTATCCGTGAAACTCTTGCAGTTGTTTTAAACGAAGGTGCGCGGCGCTAAGGCGAGAGCCACACTTTAGATAAGAACCGCTCTCAATCCGTGAGACTGTTGCACATGTTTAAAGCGAATGTGCGCGGCGCTAAGCCGAGAACCACATTTTGAAAACGACCCGCCCTCAATCCGTGAAGCTCTTGCACATGTCTAAAGCGAATGTGCGCGCCCCTAAGGCGAAAGCCACAGTTTGAAAACGGGCCACCCTCAATCCGCCAAACTCTTGCAAATGTTGAAAACGAAATTGTGCGGCGCTAAGGCGAGAGCCACATTTAGAAAACGGGCCGCCCTCATTCCGTGAAACCCTTGCAAATTGTGAAAACGAATTTGCGCGGCGCTAAGGCGAGAGCCACATTTTGAAAACGGCCCGCCCTCAGTCCAAACGCCCGGCCCGACCTAAAGATTGGCCTCGGGGTGCGACAAGGAGAAATTATTCACAAGGAGAAGGAATGGAGGAGGAGGAGGACGACGAGGAGGAGGAGGAGGAGCAGGAGCAGGAGCAGGAGTAGCAGGAGGAGGACGGGGATGGAGTGGGGCGGGTAGCAGCACATTGCGCAGGTGTATGGCACGCGAGGTGTGGAAGGCCAGCAGCCCGTTGGGAGGGTACTTGTTGCTCGGCGCATTGGATGATGTTGGCAGGACAGGGTGGGTCAGATGGGCTGGGTTCAGACGACGGTGTTGGACCCTCACCTTCATGTCCAAGACACACTGCGTCATACCAGCCACCAGTTTTCCTTGGTCCCCTCCGTCGGGCGGCCTGTTTGGTTGGGTTGGTAGCGCGGGTGCCCCCAAAGCTTTAGTTGCTTCTTCTGCTCGCAGATGCCATTCTTCCATGTGTTCCGCAATTTTGTGCACGCTAGCGTTGCCGTGGAAGTGCCAGAAAGTCCTGCCCGACGCAATCGGAATTGCCGCCGCCGCCGGACATGCCAAACGAGGTGCATTCGCTGGAATCCGTTGTACAAGACGTCTCCAGAGTTTATTTCTCGGCCGATCTGGACTATTGTGCCGCTTGGCTCACCGGCGAATGACGTGTGCTTCATATGGAATACCTAAAGATTGTCCTTTCAGTGCACTATGGAATACGCTCGGCAGCTGGATACCAAAACAAAAAACGGATCCCACCGGCCCCCTGGAGCACGCTCGGCTGGCGTGTGCACCAGGAGTACAAAGCTGGGTGTGGACAGAGTGGCAACGTTCTACAACATATTGCTTCGATGGCACCTCCGCGAGCTTTCCCAGGGATTACATGGACCTGAACCATTCAGCACGTTGAAGGTATGTTTTCCGATGCAAATTTCTGGATATATGGTGGGCCGTGCTCGAACGGACCTGCTCCGCCCAGCAGGGCGGCGTCTGAAATAACCTCTGCCCTCTCCAAGACCGCCTTCCCCGTCGGGCTGCAGGGAGGCGAAGGGCTCCCGGGCACGCGGCGCGGAGTGGGCCACGGAGGGGGATCCTCTTCCTCCCTCCTCCTCCTCCTCCTCCTCCTCCTTCTCCTCCTCCTCTTCTCC